GTGGCCGTCGAACAGCGACCAGTAGTGGCAGCAAACGCCTTCCGATTCCTGCGGGGAGAGGGACAGGGAGGCGTGAGGGCCGCGGAGGCCACTGGCCCACGGGGCTCAGCGCATCCGCCTGGAGGGCTGGCTGGGGTCTGCACACATGGGGGCGAAACACCGCAGAGAGCCTCAGGGCAGGGTCCCCAGGTCTGTCACTGTGGCTACCACCACCCCCGGGATGAAGCTCCCTGCCTCTCCACCAGGCGGAAGGGACCCAAGTGACCACGCGCTCATTTGGGCCCCTGTTTGAGGAGGAATCCCATACAAACAGATAGGGGTTTAGAAGTCCAGCTTTAACCTCGAATCCCCACCTGGAGTCTGTGGAGAAAGGCCCTTTTTTGCAGGTTCTTCAAGGGGAAATAAACGGACTCATGTTCCCTCTTTAGGCCTTTATATTCTCAGATAACTGACCCCTCCTCTTTGGTCTACAGCCTGAATGTTGGAACACAGTCTTCCCTTAGACGCCCAGTCTAGTCCAGGCTTCACAATTCACATCTCCTGTCCCTGCCTCCTACCTCCCCCGTCTTCCAGCTGTCACTCAGCATCCGTTTCCTCTTCCGACCCCAATGCTGCTCATACAGCCATGTGCAGCCCGCAGCCCCACACCTTCCACGGATTTAGTACCTGTCAGGTGATTTCTAGACCATTTCAAAATGAACGGTTTTTAAAAAGCATGTTTGAATCACACATGCCTAAGATCTTAGCTCTGGGTGGAAAAAAGGAGCTCAATTAAGATCTATCAAATACTGAGATAACACAGATAAGGTGCATATGACATCCACTCTGACTGCTGGGCTTAATATCCTGCAACAATAAATACTGGGTTCTTTTTTAGCTGAAGCCATTAAATAAAACTTTCTTTTGGTCCATCTTATTTTTTTAATTGAAATATATTTGACATACAATAGTGTGTAAATTTAAGGTGTACAATATGTTGACTTAATACATTTATATACTGTACTATGATTACCATTATAGCAATAGTTAGCATGTCATGTAATTCTTTTTTGGGTGGTTAGAATAATTAAGATATAATCTCTTGCAAGTGTAATTATTACAACACAATATTGCTTCTATATTCACTATATTGTGTATTATATCTCATTGCAAGTCTGTCCCCTTAAAAAGCATCCCTCCTACCATTTTCGGTCTATCTTAGAACGATGCTGGAAGATACTATCTGGTTATGGGGACCTATGCCATTACTCTATTTGCACCCTTTAACACTTTTCCACTCAATTCTGTGCGAGGTGCTAAGAGATAAACTGGTAGGGTTTTGTTTGTTTTTTAGTCACAAATATTTACTGAGCATTCTCTGTATGACAGGCACACAAAAAAGTAAGCAGTGGGGATAAACAACTGGATAAAAGAGATATCAGACATGGTCTAATACTAATCCAGTGGGAGAGAGAGACACCGATCAAATAATCACACAAGTAAACATAGACCGTGATTCTGGTGAGGGCTACAAGAAGAGGTCCTTGGTGCTGTGAGGCCACCTGCAGAGGGGCCCAGCGAAGGGGCTTCCTGTGACATGAGGACCAGGCTGAGGGCTGCTTGGAAGGAAACAAGATAAGGAAAGGAGGGGAAAGAATGCCAGGCAGCAGCAAGAGCGGGTGCACGGTCCCTATGGTAGGAAGGTGCCTAAAGAGCAAGCGGAGACTGAACCATGGCCACGTGGCTGAATAGCAGTGAGGCAGGAGAGGAGGGGGGTGAGGCAGGAGAGG